AAATAAACTCTTTTAAAGGTAAGATTCTGCTATGTGGTAGGGCATGTGTGTCGTAAATTTCAAAGTGCCAAGGCGATAATACGAACACATACACGCTGGAACTTCATACATTATTCAGGGAAAAGCAGAAAAGTAAGAGAAGACACGATATAAAGGGACGTGTGAAACCTCGGAAAATAGAGTTGCGTTCGAAATAATCGCATTATAATTGTTTACGGAATCTCGGAAAATCAGCAGTTTCATTCTTACGAAAAAGCAAGATTTCTATTCGCCTATACAATCGCGTGCGATCGTAAAGTAACGAATCACATTCCCAGATTGTATTTGGATTCCACTGAAATTAGCGGTTTCAGCAAAATTAGATTAGCGGCTTCGACGAATTAAGCGAGAAATACCGTAACAGCTCTGCGTCATCCGGGTGTTGAGTTACAAGATTAATTATAGTTGGACGAACGCAATCTCGATTTTACGAAGATCGTTTTATCAAGATCTATGGGAAAGATATTTATTCCGATAAACTCATGAGTTCAGGCATTAATGAGTTTATCGGAGTGTGAACAAGTGATTCGAATGACACGAGAATACCATAACGGTACTTACTTTTCTTTATGTATACTTTATAGAAAAAAATATTACATTAGGAATAACAAATTATATAATTAGAAATTTTGTTTTCTTTCCACAATTCTGTTAGTTAAATTAAAGCCAATTCTAGGATCATAAATTGTAAGTTGTAAAAAATTTACCAATCACAGTTGAATATTAAGAAAATAATAATTTCTGATTGGTCAATTTCTTACGATTTATTTATCTATTGTAGAACCCTAAGGGCTTGAGCACAAAGACAGCTACAACTAAGTTGTGAAACGTGAATCGTAGTCGTCACGTAGGTCAACATACAATGTTTGACGTAACTATATACGATGTATCGGCATGCATATAGTTACACCAAAATATTGACCTACTACTACAACTCACGTTTCACGACTCAGTTATGATTATCTTTGTGCTGAGGCCCTTACGACCATCTTTGTACTGGCCTTAAGCTATTTTACCTAAGTTTTAAGTCATAAGAAATCGATCATGGTCGATTATTTTTTTCACATTCGATTTTGATTTGATTAGTCAATTTATTACGATTTAAGGCTTTAAAAAGCTTATAGGCTTTCTATAATAAGCCATTAGCTAAGCTTTAAGTCTTAAGCCGTAAGAAATTGATCAATTACAATCGAATGTGATAAGAATAATCAACTATAAAACTTAAAGCTTACTCTCTAGATTTTTGGAGTAAAATCTCACTCCAAAAGACTGAAAATGGAGTCAATCTTGAGAAAAAAAGAATAAATATTTTCGCTCTTGAAGAGTAGATTTCTACTCTTTAAGGAGTGAGATTTCATTCTTTTGAAGTAAGATTTTACTCTTTTGAAGTGAAAGTCACTCTAAGAAATGAAGTCTTATCCCAAAAAAAGAAGTCAGATTTTATTCGGAGTGAATCTCGCTCCAAAAGAATGAAATCTTTCTAAAAAAAAGTGAAAAATCTGCTCTTATTCAAGTAAGTTATTCGAGTAAAAGTTTTCATTCTTTTCTCAAGACTGACTCAATTTTCACTCCAAAAGATTTAGAGAGTAAGTAATGACTTATAGATAAGTTTGGAGAGTAAGTAATGACTTATCATAGGAAGTCCATTAGATAATGGCTTATTGTAGAATGTCTATTAACGACAATATCGACGTTACATTATCATTACGTCATAAGTTTCGTACATATACTCTCGGGACACTCTCTAAAACTTATAGAGTGAATGTCACTCTGAAAAGTGATTCCCACTTTTAAAGATTAAAAATTGAGCTATTCTTTTTTAAGATTGACACAATTTTCACTCTTTAGAATGAGATTCCATTTCAAAGAATTTAGAGAGTAAAAAAAAGATGTGTAACAATATAACGACACCGACATTGTTAAGAATTGCAGAATAGGAGCTTTAGAAGTTAATTGATAATCGAAATTCGGTCCAAGTTGGCTCGTTACCAAAAATTTACCAAAAGTTACTAAAACAAATAGAATACACAGAGCCAAGAACCAAGAATCACCTCCTTCAAAGAGATGAAACTTCCGACTCCATTTTATCGCTTCTCGCTATCGTAATTCTCCCTGGTTGAGGTAGTTGGAGATAACGCGTAACGATCGCTCACCACCGTTCTTTATCTACGTTGGCGCGGGCCATCGATATCTCGGCCGTGTGTGCCCAATCTCGAAACCGTGTTACGCGGGCCGACGAGCGGCCGCGTCCTTAATATCGCCACCCTCATTCCACCTGCGTTCGCCAAGCGGCGAATGGTGCCAGGTGCAACGACTGGCCGACAGCGGAGCGACATTAAACGCCGTCGGCTGCCGCATTGCCGATGTCGTGCCGGCCGTAACCGCGGCACGCGGGGTACGTGCCCTTTCTCCCTCGTTCTCTCTTCCTCTCGTTTCCGTGCACCCTCGACGCTACAGGCCACCGACTTTCTGAACCTTAAGGGGGTGGACGACTTATCGACCTGATGCCAGTCAGGCCTACCACCCTTAATCCCGTGTACTTCAATCACATGTTATTCCGATAAATATTCGGAAATTAGACTATTTTTTTGTTATCCTCTTTTGTCTCCCACAAGTTGTTCGATTGGGAGATCATGACTTTTGAGCTATGTAAACATGTAGTGACAAGAATCTCTGAGCGAAGCATTAAGAGATTTCATCGAAAGATATTTGAAAATTTACTCTTCATGTAGAGAGGACGGAAAAATTGGTTTTTCGTGATCAAATCCGAGAGAGCTTACCAAGCCTCGTTTTAATTATTCGGAATATATCAAAAGGATGATTAGAAATCAAAATTTTACTATGAGTTTATTGTAATTAAGAATATGACAAATAAGTATCTAAAGATTAGACTAGAAGATACGCTTCATCAAATATCGCGTAACAATCTCTATTCCTCAAGATTATCTTTCTCACTGCATTTCCCACCATCGCCGCGTAACAACGTACAAGGTACAACCCAATTGAAACAAATTACCGCACAAATGACGACGACGACGACGACGACGACGTCGACGACGATAATAAACTGATAGAATCGCGATCACGAAATTGGAACGTCGCGTTCGCGTGGCTTGCCGTGTCGAGTTCCCTTTCCTGATGATACATCAATAAGAATAATACGGGGAAGTGCGCGATGCGGCGAAAGATACGTACAGGTAGACCGGGGAGTTTAACGACCTTACAACCCCCGCAAGTAGCGGGATCGATGGTCTCGGAACTACGGGGGCGAACTCTCATCTGTGGTTCGGAGCGCGCGGCCCGGTTGTTTCCACCGTGGGCCGTGTTCTACTTTCCAATCATCACATTTCGCCATCACGTCGTTGTTTCTCTTCTGTAGGTCCTGCTTTTCATGTCGTGTCACGGCATTGCACCCGACCCGACGGGTGTCTCGACGTTTCACGGATACACGATCGACATATCCTATGCATTTGCTAGATGATTTCATGACTGAAAAATCCGATCCGATTCGGGTACCAGTACTCTCTAAATTTTTTAGAATAGAATTTCACTCTAAAAAACGAAGTTTCACTCTAAAAGTTTTAAAGAGTACTTAAAAGCAAAAATCTTGAATGAATAATTTTTAATTTAAAAACACAATAATATTGATATAAAATCTATTCATTGCTGTATGTATCTTATTCTTTTAAGATTGAATCAATTTTTAGCTTTTTATAAAATGAGATTTCATTCCAAAAAAAATTTAGAATGCAACTTAAAGATATTTGTTAAATAAAATTTTCAAATATCAAGGAATAATTTTTTTCATATTTCAGCACTTTCTTAAATATAATAGTAACATAAATTACTACTAATTTAAAAAATAAAAAAATATATCTCACATTTATAAAAACATTTTGTGTGTTTATTTCATTCTTGCATTATATCATTACAGGAATATATTGTTGCGTAAACATATCAATTTATGTAGATTATTTATCGGTAAAAATCCTTAAATGGTATAAAACATAGGAATGAAACGTGCTACAAGAGCGCAGATATGTAAACATTTTTTCATCGATCAGATCAAAATAAACTTTATGTACATTTAATTACAAAATATCAATATATAATATATAAAACCGTTAATATTTTAATTTTATGTTTTATTCAACAAAAAATTTTCTTTAAATAGATAACTTTTCGTATTTTACAATATGACTTTAATAATTTATTAGGCATCGAAAACCCTGTACCACATAATTTAGCAATTTTTGAAACAAAATTATATTAATTTTTATCTCCATCATTTTTTTTGACAAGCGCTCATTGCAATGCGATCTGCATATATATGCAAACTGTTGGCGTAAGCATCATATATGTATATTACAAGGTCTAAATATACTTTTGCATAAATTCATGTAATACAATGTTCATTATTTAAAAAAAAATTATATGTACCTCTAGCAAAGTATGATTTATCATTTGACAATTCTTGATTTAATCAAGCATTATTTGCGAGTAAAAATTACATATATTATGCGGCAGTAATATTTAACGTGCATGAAAAAGGAACGTATATTATACTTTTCTTTCTTGGCCAATTCATTAAATTCATTCAATTTTTGACGTGATTTTCTCTATAAAATTCCAAAAAAATATCAAATTATATAACATTGCCGTTATCTAAATATTTTAATACGATCTTTTTCCGAGTTGACGTAATTTTCCCATAAAGTAAAGCTCTATGTCTTTTTATAGATTCCGGATATTAGAAGCTAATTTTAAGCTTCGGTTATCACTAATTTGAATCAAATATTTAAATGGATTAATGATTTTGATTCGCTGTAGTGTTTCTCTGGTTGCTACTTCTAAGCTAATAACGTACTAAAAAATTATTCTCACTTAAACAATTATATCTTAGACATTATTTTTAATAGTATCTTTGATAGTATCTCTAAATCCTAAAATAGTGTGTAATGTTATATATATAAATTTCCATTATCAGGTAAAACTCATTATTTTACCGATTACCAGAGTTGCTAAAAAGAATCGCGATAACATTCTCTATCACATCTATCACATTATGCATAACATAATTACCTTATAATCACGTTTCTACATATCGAGATCAAATATCAGATCGTTCTTAAATTCCAAGTGAACTGCATCTTTCGTGGTTTTAATCGAAATATCGGCTTGAACATCTTCGGTGGGTTTTTCCTCGAAGCTAGAATTACGCTTATGTAAAGAATGTTTGTCATCAGTATTCGATTTCACAATTTCAATATTGGCGGTTCTTTGTTGTTGCGAATCTCGTTTATCTCGTGCAAGTATGGGTTTTACGTTCTCGGAAGTTTCCTCATTCGGAGACCGCTTATAATCTACTTTATATTTGTCACGTTCTTCGGTTTCAGAATTTTCACTTTCGCTTAGTCGACGATCATGCGCGCGTTTCTTATTACGCAGTTTACGTTGGTTCTTCTTTCGTTGTCCAAGAATACTCGAATTAGATCTAAAGAAAAGAAAATAATAAATTATGCCAATGAATTCATTAATATATCACTCATAAAAGAAAAAAAAACTATATTTATATATTTTTTTTTCTCTTAAGATTTCATCATTTCCGATTAGTTTGATCAGTCGATTAATGCTTGTTTCTAATGTAGTTTAATTTTAATCTCAGATTAACTCTTCATTTTTTTTTTAGTTTTAAAAATCAGAAAAAGATGAAGATGAAAATTGAATCGAAATTAAAATTAATTTCAACTGGTCATTTCTTTAACGACAAATGCGATTAATCAGTTTGAATAGAATAATCGGCTGATTAAGTTAATAGGAATCGATAAAACCTTTAAAAAATTAATTGATATCTTGTTACAGTTACCTAAATAATTGTCGTGAAACAACATCATTAAATCGTACAGTCTTTTTCAAACTGGAACAATCTGATTCAGAATTGATATCATGTACGGAATCGTAATGATCGTCATAATGATAATCTGTGCATGATGCAGGTAGGCTGTTTTCGTCCGCACTCGATTCAGACATGGAACGTGAAAAATCGCGGGCGCGACGTGACTTTAATATTCCTTTCGAATGTCTCACACTGCTATTGCTGCTATTGCTTGCCAATTCATCTCCACTGCTTTCTGAAACTGATCTGACTTTCTCAATGTGCTTTTTCTCTTGTCGCCGTTTCACAACTCTTGCATTTTCCTCATACTCTTCTTCGTCATCAGAATCCTGCTGATTTGGATGAATATTTATAACAATACCATCATCTTGCGGTTGTACGGAGATTTGCCTTTCTACCTGAGATTCAGCTTTTGGAGAGGACTGTAAAAATATTTTACTTGGTATAGACAATATATAACATTCTACATTTTAAAGTGTGCAATATATTTATATTTTTACCATTAATTCTTTAAATTTGCTCGTGAATGACGCTGCTGTAGGAAGATCTTTTCCTTCCATGAATTCTGTATCCACTCCAACAAAATATTGTGTTACATTCTCAATATCCTTCACCGTGATGTTAAAAACAACGTTATTGTCCCATGGTTCAATTGTAAGAGTTTCTGGTTCAATATAGCCATTTCCTATCTTAAGACACAATGAATAATGTTGTGGAAAAAATCCAGTACCCATAGATGTTAGCAAGATATGTATTCCTACATTATTATCTAAAATTTTGTGATGAATTGCATCTGGATTTACGTTTTTTACATTTATAATAATGGCTAATTGATTATTATAAATATTACAAGTATAAGCAGGCAGATTGTACTTAAAATTAGGATTCATAAATACATCAGTGATTTCTGTCTTATTACTAGTCCGTAAGGCAGTATCTTCACACTTATCTGTTACTTCACTTTCTTTATCAAATTTTATATTTTTGCACGCGTTTTCGCACTCTTTCATTAATTCTATTTTGTTAGTAGACAAATTTTTTTCGTCATCCTTAGACATTACTGTTGCAGCACTGTTTTGATCACTGTCAACTCCACTATCTGCTCTATCAGTATCACCTACTGGTACCAATGACCGAATGACTGGTAAAGTTACAATTAATTTTTTGTACTTTGGATCAAATTTAGCATTCCCACTATCTCCATCTATGGGATATGGTAATGGAAGATCCAGCAAATATTTTGCAGGCTTTTCACTTTTTAGGGTAAGAGATTGTTCATGTACATCGAGTATTGCGTCGTTAGCACTTTTCAACAAGGGCAAATTTATGGTAATCACCAATTTTTTAGGGATTGCGGCAAACATCTTTGCATCTCGGCTTAAAACAAAATCTTCCATTTCCACATCGGACTGATGTTTTATGGAAAATTTAGGTGTAACATATTTTTCATCTACAGACTTCTGTTGCTTGTCCTTATAATAAGTGGTGGCTGGCGGGGCACGTTTCGGCTTTTCTTCCGTCTGCTTTAATTGGCTCTCCCGACTTTCGTCGTAACTCAACATTATTTTCTGATAGATTTCTGGTTCTATATCCAATGGTTCTGTCGGTGGTGTTTCCGAAGGTTTTCTGATCACTGTAGGATGAGTCATCCCTTTGAAGTTAATCTTAGGAAATTTCAGATTCTTCCTGTCCAATTTCACCTGCAAGACATAGAGAACACACATTAGAAACAGGTATTACAAAAATAAAATTGTATCCTTTCCAACTAATTCTTTTGCATAGTTCATATTTCTTCTCTGCTTTAGAGAAAAAGAGGACAACATAAATAGTTCAGCTAATATTCATTTCTATCAACGTAAACTTCAATCTCAGTTTAATTTACTTTAACCTTACTCTTTTTTTAGTTCTAAAAATTAGAAAGATAAAGAGTAAGTTGAAGCAAAATTAAAGTTAATCTACTTTGATAGAAATGAGCATTAAAAGAATAAATTGGAGTATAAGCTAATAAATATATTTGTCCACTACACTGGATTAGCATGTTGAAGGCTACTTTATATAAAGTAAAGTAGTGGCATAATAATATAATTAACTTTGACAATGAAATAATGTACATTCTGCTAAATAATGACAATATCATTATTAGATATTTAATCATTTCAAATAATGTTTATATGTTTTTACATTTAACTCCTAATTTCACGTATAGAAGCTTTCAGTGTGCACTAATCTAGTAAGGCAAATGACCGAATTCGTTATGACGAATTCGTTAGAGATATGAACCTTAAAATTATTTTCCACGCCATCCATAGCCGTGTTATTAACGATCTCGCGGAACCGCGTGTTCTTGGATGCCAAGTAGATGGTGTCCGGATGGAAGACCACGTCATACACCACACATCGCACATTTTTCTTGTCAAGGTCATAGCGGGGTGGTATCAGCGTATACGGAATAGACCACTGCAGGCCACGGTGACCCTGTTCGTAGGAAGGCTGACTGGTGGGACGCGCGACAACGTCGTTCTTACTGATGTTCAAAAAGCACTTCCTGTCGCCGTTCACACTGGTCTTAATGACGTAACCGGGCTCGGGGTTAACGAACGTCACGTCTACGCCCCGCTCCTTCTCGAGCTGGGTGATCTCTTTTTCGTAGAGTTTCCTATTATCCGGGTCGGCCACGTCCTCCGCGTATTCGATTAACAGCTTGCGAAACTCCTTCTTTTTCAGACAGTCGGTTATGTTTTTCAATTCCTCTCGCGACACATTGAAATCCTCCCAATCTTTCCTGCGGTGCTCGTATACGTCCATCTTATGTCGCGCGTGTTTACAAATAGACCCGTCGGTAGAAAGATTGCGAAGAGCGAACAACACGTGGATCGCGGCGCCACCGCACCGGCCGGTCTCTGCACCGGCTTGCCCGATGCGCCCGTTCGATCATACTTTAAAGTTTAATTCAAACGCGTGATTACGTTCTATCGGTGAGAAATTCTTCCTCGCTTCCCAATTAGACAAATCTGTCGAAAACAGATTTTGCAAGGTGTCTGCTATCGACAAATTTCGGCACAATGCAAAATGCGGAAATATAATGAGATCTGTTAACGGAATATGATTGACAGATTGACAGAAATTGAACCCGAATCCATCATTTCGTAATCATTAATGGTATCTTTCATTTAAATCCTTTCAAAATTCTGACAGATTTTGTTTGAAATTTATAATAATTTCTATTTAGACCGGATCACGTTGACTTAATTGCTGGTAAAACATTGATGCTAATACGAAGCCGTGATAAAACTGCCAATATACTTATTTGTTAATGTCTTACTTACAGGATTGTTTATCAGATTCTTCGAGGACCAATTTAATCGATACATAAACGATAAAATAGTTCAATTATTTAAAATACAAAATGTTCAATTGTAATTTGTCTAATTCCCTAATTAAACTTTTCTTTTAATATTAATAAAGAAAAATAATAATAAAGAAATATTAATAAAGAAAAAATTAATAAAAAATAATTAACTATCTTATTCATATTAAACATAAAATAGTATGGGCACCTATTTATTCTCTAAATTCTTTGAAGTGAAATTTCACTTCAAAGAGTAAAAATAATTTTAAAAAAAGGTTCAATTTTTTTTAAAAATTTTTAAATGAATTTTTCAACTTTGAAAAGTAATTTCATTCTTCGGAATAAGATTTGCTTTAAAAGTTTTAAAGAGTAATAAAATTAAATAAATTAATTAAATATGATCGATTATTACGATCACCCTTAGGAAAACTTCGATTAAATTCCGATTTAATTGGTAATTAAAATTTATTTTTTTCAATCAATACTACTTGTGCTATTTCATCAGTATAAATAATTAATTCTTTGTCGTTTAATATGTGGAAAGAAATGATGTAAAGTAATATAATATAATTCGAAATTTTGTTGTAAACAATTTTGCCGATTAAATTAATCGCTGATTAATATTAAATTTAATTATACACGTGCGTACTGGCACATTAAAACCATCGTACACGTTAATATAAAAATGCGTGTTTAATATAAACATAGAAACGAATTAAATGGCGAAATCATTAATATACTTATTGTATCATTAGGTAAAATATAATAATATTTTATAATTCAAAATATCTTTATATTTAAATTAAATCATGTATAACAGCTTTAATATCCACAGTGTGCATTATTGCGTCCAACTGAACTCGCTATAAGTTCCGGGTTGAAGTTGCTCTCAGAGATTAGTCATACAGAGTGATATGCAAACGCGATCACCCGTTGCAATATATATATTGGAAAGTGAAATGTTGCGTTTCACCCAATCAACCAATCGGTGGAGATCGTAGGCTGTGGCGAAGATGTAGGAATCATACACAGTTTACAGTGCCTGACCCACTAACATTCTCCTCAGTTACTCGGCCTCGATAATCCATAGAGTATCTCTCGGTAAAAGACCGTGCAAAATTACATCAGTATATTATACACATATTTGACAATTTGATAATAAAAAAAAAATGCGTAGAAATCGTGGTCTCCTGTTATCACTTTCGACGTGTCTGACGATACTCTTTGTTGTTTTGAATACGCGATCATCCACAGAATTACTCGGGTCCGCGATTACCACTGAGAAACGCAGCATGTTGAGGAAACAGGAAGTGTTACGTGCCGATGATCGATGGATTACTCGTAGTCAGGTGAAGACTAATACATACATCATGTTTATTATACCTAAATAAAACTCCACGTTAATTATAACTAAATAGATATATCAATCTAGCGTCGCCTGGAAAACTTTGCGTTTCCCAGAATATCTCTCGCTTGAATCTTGACTCTCTCTCGAGTTTAATTGTATATTCTCCAAATGTGTGTATCAAATTGAAGCACGTACTGCGGAACGTATCATCGTTTAATTCTGTATTTAATTAGTGAGCAGCAAATGCAGTTTCAAAGTAATGCATAGAGATGACTGTCTGTGCTTGCGCAATGGAGAATGCATTCCTCGAACATGAGATGTGCACGATGGAGCAAAAGCATGCCGTCGCTTCATGCTATTACAAAATTGTATAGTAATCATACTGGACATATTCAGCGATTTACGTGCAATTAATTCCGCGCGATTAATGCCTCTGTTTTTTTTCACCAAAAAATTTCAATCAAAAATTTTAACCCGGAAATAGTTTCCTAGAGTGATTTTTACATCCCAGCAGCGAGAAAATGAAGTTTACAGAATTTTCTTTACTGATAAAAAAAAATCCACATTTTATTTTTAATTTCTTTCTATTCTTTTTAAAGAAAATATTGAACAAATTTACATAATGATCTTAAATATCATAAATTATAAAACAATCAATAATATATATATAATTAATAATTATATTTTTAATTGAGATGTAAAAAAATACTCCAGGTGAGTTTAGAGTGAGTTGCGAAGAAGTCAGGTAATTGTATTCTTGGATAAAAAATGTAAGATGTTAGTTCCAAGTAGCACAGTAGCGCTTGTAAAACGCTAAAAAAAGCAATTATGTGCGCTTTTTTAGCGCTTTGTAAACGCTATTTAGGACACATCCATTTATCAAGAAACGTGATTATTTATGATAACGTCATTATTTATGATCGTTATAACTATCCAGACGCACCGATACATTACTCCGTCCCTCGCCGAATTGGGAGAGTTGCCATACAAGCACAAGCACATTCTTATGTTGACACGCATACCCGGTGCGGGTGGCGAGTTGATGGTGCTGATCCTGCAGCGATTACAAGGATATAATGCTTTCAAACATATACGTTTGCCACCGGGCGACAACGGACTCTTATCAAGTTCACAGCAGGTTCGAGAAAAAATCCCTTCTGATTTTTACTCAAGACTCGATTATTTTTGCAAATAATTTAATAATTTTTATTTATGATATCATATTTCACAAAAGAGTTTCTCAGAACTTAATTTATATCGCAAATCATAAGAAACTTTTGATTTAATAGGAGTTGTTGATAGAAGAGATTACGAGTATCATCCGACAAGAAGCTATTCCCTTAACTTTCGATGGGGATGTAAGATTCCTAAATTTCTCGGAATTTGGACGACAAGGACCTACCTTTATATCTTTAGTGAGAGATCCCTTGGATCTACGAATTTGGCAAAAGTATATTTTTCTACCTATTATTATAGGATGAAGAAGGGAGAAAAGGGATAGAGGAAAGAAAATATTAGGAAGACAACGAAGTTCTATATTAAAATAATGATATTTTTGTCATAATTCAGGTATAAAAAAGGAGAGAAAGGGATGCATTATTATGGAATTATACCTTATTTTTGTGGACAAGATCCGCGTTGTGCGTAAGTATTTTTATTGATCTAATTTTCTTTACGTCACCCGAATGATCACCTGAAAAGTGAATTTGACATTCTAATTAAGAGTAATCATTATTAATTATGTATATATGTACATTGTATACTGATTCTATAATTTATATTATTAATATATTATATTTGAAATATATATATAATTAATATTTGAGATTATCATGATAGATTTACTCACAAAATATTTTCTAAAAAAATGTAAAAGAAATTTAAAAAATAAGTATGAATTCTTCAATCTGTAAATAAAACTGTGAACTTTATTTTTTTATTATTAGGATGCAAAAATCATTCCAGGTGATTATTCTCGAATAAATTCAAATAAATCTTATTGCGTATAATTTCATATAACACTTTATTGCATATCGAGTAGGCATTTCTGTTACTTCAGCTGGACACCGAGCAAGAATAAATATTTTTATGAAAAAAAATATGAAGTGGCTGTTATTGATTTTTATGCTATGTATATTTTTCCCTAGGGAACAAAATAAAACATGGGCAATGGAGCGAGCTAAAACAAATGTTATTCGATGGTATCCTGTTGTTGGTATATTAGATTACATGGAGGAGTCACTAAACGCGTTAGCAGGTGAATTTCCCTATTTTTTTAAGGATGCTATTCGTGTCTATGATCATTTCCGTAAGTACTCGTATAAATATTTATCGATCCATATATCTATATATTTTAATCTTATCAATTGAGCGTTTCGTCATTTTTTATACTCGTGTCTTATATAATATGTTTCTGTTTACATATAGGACCAAAAGAGAAGCATCCGGCCATTTCTTCAACAAATTCAAGGCTACGAATCAAAGACGCAGTCTTGAGAAAAGTGCTTGCACAAGAGATAGAATTTTATCAATGGCTGAAATTTCGACTTCTTAATAAAATATTCAACAATGGATGAAAATACTATCCGATGAAGATAGATAAATCAACTGCAATTAAATAAATCTTGAATAATAATCGAGATAAATTTTCCTCGTTAAAAAGAAATTAAAAAGGAAAAAAGTCTCTTATGATTTCGTAATTATTATACCAAAGAAACAAATATGAACTTTTGTGCCATCTAGAGGTTGATTCTGTAACCACATAAATCATTTTACATAGAGGATAAAATCGTTGACGACTAAGTTTTACGTGCGATTTTTTTATCGATTGTAGCGCATCTTGTCAGAATAATTAATTATTAATATTATTATAACTAGCAATAGAATTCGCATTCGCAAATGACGAAGCCGCTACAATCTTTTTACGTCAATGTAGTTTAATATTTGTAGAATAAATACAGAAAAGTACAAAGAAATGCTTTACGTACACGTCGACCCTTTTTTTTCATTCTCTTTTCCTTATTCTGTCAGCACATTTTCACAAAGATAAAAAGTGAAAAATAATATAGATAGAATGCGATCTACATAATCAGATAATTATGTACACGTGAAAATAAACGTGAAAATGTTACCTTTTTCTTTTGCGTAGACAATATTGTTCTTTATAAAAAAAATTATATATGTATATTCGAATTGTTCTCTATGCATAATTTGGAACAAGAATATTGGATTATTCCAGTATGTTTTTTTTTGCAAACGCATCACGGGCACGATTAATTTTTATAAATTCCGTGGAATCAAAATATAAAAATAATTATCATTATCGATCATCACATTAGCGTGTATACATGCTTATCGTGAATGAAAAAGTCAGGGAGGATCGGGAAGCGAGTTGGATTGATTAACGCGAGGATGATGCATGCAACAGGATAACAGAATCATGTTGATGTATAGATGGACCAGCAACAACATGAGAAACGCGTGCCATCACTTCTTCTTCGCGTCTTTTAATCCAGCGCCTGCGTTGAATTTGAAGAAAATAATATCGCCATCCTCGACTACATAATTACGTCCTTGCTGTCTGTACTTTCCGGCAGCCTAACAACAAAATAAAACGTATGTAAAAGTAGGAAATATGTGTCACGTATCATTTAATATAAAAATTATAACTATAATTCAAATACTTTTACTGCTGCTTCCGAGCCCTCGTTCTTGAAATCTTCGAATTTCATCACTTCTGCCATGATAAAACCTTTTTCAAAATCTGTATGTATTTTTCCCGCAGCTTGAGGCGCTTTTGTGCCTTTCTGTAAAATAAAAAAACCCATATTATAACATTTTCATATAATATATAATATTTCCATATTATAACATTAATATGCGGTATTATTATATTAATAAACTATTATTATATATTATTAAAAAATTATTATATATTAATAAACGGTAAATTAATAAAAATAAATATAATAAAAAGATAAGAGACAAAAAATACATAATACATATTTTTCTTATTATCATTAATGTTATTTAATATATAATCTTACTATTTTAATATATAATTTTTCCAATATAATTATGAAATTTTCTAAATGTAAATTAATTTTTATTTAACTTTATTGCTATTGAATTTTATATTTACTTGAATTGTCCACGCCTTGACTTCATCGTGACCGGACGTGAAAAAATATTGCAGCTGTAACGCCTTGTATCCTTGTACAATGATCTTATCGAGCGCACTATACAAAGAAAAGAAACATACAATGAATAAATGTGTTTCTTTGCTGAGACTAAGATTAGCTATATACCGTCAGCTATATGCCGAACACAACGAGGTGTAAATTTCTTACTTTCCGCGAATCACGAAAAAATGAGGCGCGTCCGCGGTCAAAGCGGGAAGTGTTCAAGTTGTGGAATAAGATTGTTTCGGGCCAAATATCGTCTAATAACGGGTTAGCGCAAGTGGAGCCGTCCAACGCGCGGTGGGCCTGACGAAAGTCTGAGAGTTCAAAGAATACACATAAAGCCGAACGACTTAATACCGCAATTTTATCATTTCGACTCCAGTCGAGGACCTATTTCCCGGCGCCCTCAGTTATCTGCGGTCTCGAAATAAAATCATGGTATCTTTCGTCCCTTCGTTTGTATTCCCCGATCATTAGGCAAACTTGGGGAGTATCGTGGATTCTCTTCTACTTCCTCACTAACTCACTAGCTGTGAGAGAAAGTTCAGAAAATATTATATAATGAATGTCGCGGGAAATACCAAACGTTCCTCGCTCACCACTATTTCATTAAAATATTTTCCCAACATCCGTCTCTCTTTCTCGCTTATTAAAGTACTTTCTGGTAATTCTGGCGTATCGAATCGGATTTAATTCAATGTTGTTCAATGCCCTAATTGAGTCTCTGACTCATAATTATAACCGTACGGCTCGATTAAAATTCATTTCGACAAGAAAAAAAAAAGAGAGATCGTGATGCAAGTCTGTATATCTGTATATGCGTACAACGCTCGTATCGCCCTGGGGTACGAATGACTCGCTAACCAATCGAATTGCCGAACCATCACCGATTACTTCTCGCTCCACCCACCCTCCTCGATTATCGGCGTGCCCGCGAGGGCGGGAGGGGTTTTTATGCAATTTTGCAAGAATTTGAATAGCCGTTCGTAAAAACATAATGCGCCGCGACCGTGCCGGTTACGGTTTTTATTAGCCGTTCCACGTGGTAAGAGTGGGACAGGGGGTCTAGACGCCGAGCCGACCATGCCCACCATCATTATTACCGTTAGAGAATAATTCGATGCATAGCTAAATGTGGGAACTGCCCAAACTCGGTCGAAGAAGATGCGTCCGCAGCGCGATTTTACGAACGTCCGACCTTCTTTTCCCTGCAATCTTGCGACGCTTCGTCGCCAACTGGCAACAAGCGACTTATGCGAGAACTACACTACCGAATTTCTCTAAGTTTTAAGGGCGGTGGTAAACGACGCGGAGCTCCGGACTGTACCCCCTTATTTGCGAGCGCGACACAACAACATTTAGAGGGTTAAAAGTAATAATAATCGTTATAACGGACCAGAGGAGGCCGAGAGGTACCAACCTGGTGACTTTGTGTTCCTCGAAGTATTTTGCGTGCTCCGCCTCATCCATATCGAGAATCTTGTTTTCGAAGACGCCGCTGAAAGGAATTAACACTGCGCCCGGATCGTTCTTGTCGACCCATTCTTTTATTTTGATTAACCTATTACAAAGAATAGTGAGAGATACAATGAACTGGGAGATATTAATTCGTCCATTATATCGCATACCATTTATTCTTCTTGCGTATGTAATCCTTTTCCGACAGGTTTATCAAATAGATGATCGGCTTCGACGTAAGAAACAGATACTTGTTCAATACCTCGATCTAAAAATTCATCAAATGTAAAATCAAAGTGGAAAATTCTTTTAATGCTATTCTTCGTATAGCATATCCAGTTTTGTTTTTTCTGAATAGTTTTTTTCCGAAATTTTTGTTTACTTTAATGCTTTATTGAACCTCCTTTTATTAATAAAGATATAATTGCTTGATATGTTGTATTCCTTAATGAGTAACACTTTGATTGAAAAAAAATTTGTTGCAATATGTTCATTTTTATATACATTTTTATAAAAATTATAAGCGCGCGCGCACACACGCACGCACACACAGTTGGATTGAATTAATATGCCATACAGCATATTATACTCATGATAAAATATAATGGAAGATTGAAAGGTTAATCATGATAAAATATATTATACAGAAATATAAAATGTTTAAACTCACATCATTGGCACTCCAATCGGCGAACCTAATGTGTTTCTTCTCGTCCGTCAAGACGCCCTTTACTTTTAGAAGTGTATCCTACAACATATGGATTGAAAAATTCCACTTAATCCCGAAATTCATTCCTGTTGCGTAACGACCTTATTTCTCGACAATCAAATGTAACGACTTCGACATTCATCGATCTCGCCAGACATTCAGATGCACGAACGTGGGGCCATCGAGTAGGATAATTTCGCGATCGAATCGTGATTAGAGGATCGTGCTGGATTAGTTGAGCGCGCGGTCCCATTAGCTTTGCCGAGAGAAAGAGAAAGAGAGAGAGAGAGAAAGAGAGAAAGGACGAAAAGATAGCTTCGAATTCTCTCGAAAAACTTTTGCCAAATTGCAAAGTCGAGAACAAGGGGGAGATCGGTAATTGCCGTGGGTCAATCCGCGGAAGGAGGGTAAATCCGACGATCGACTCGTTCCAGGAAGCCTCGTTTCGTCCGCGTTCTCTTAATTTCTTCGGTAATTTCGTAACTGGCTTGACAAAAGGGGCTGCAACTGTACTCGCTAGACGTTCTTGTGCCACGTATGAACATCAAGCGAGAGGAAAACGCAAGAAAATTCCTTAGATTCTCGTGAAGAGTAGTTCAGTAAAATCGAACGGTTAACAAAAAGGGAAAAAAAAACAAGAGATAAAAAACGAAAAACAGCACTGAACAAAGAGCACTGTAAGAGCATTGTAAATTAGGTTTAACTCAGCAATAATGACAAATAAAGACAATGGTTGCATTCAGTAAAAAAAAAGTAGCTTCGCACACAACTGTTGTAAAATTATTTAATAAATTAGTTTATACATTTAGATTCAATAAGGAACTAAAGGCAGATTCGACCATATTAAAGAGTTTTACAATAGTTGCAAAGTTACTTTTTCTGCTGAACGCAACCATTTTTAGCAGATATAGAATTTCCGTAGAATTTGCTCCTCTTTTGAAATTATATTTTTATACAGACAAAGCGGGTTTCTCCATTTAAAGAATTTATTTTATTAAAACATAATGATCAAATACTCACGTATTCAGGCTTCAGCTTCTTATCATTGCCGCGTATCACAAGCTTCTCGAGCTTCTCGAGGTGGACGTTCAAGAATTCCACGTCCTTCAGTCGTAACTCTTCGCTAATGATATCAAGGTCTCTTACGGGGTTGACGTCACCCTCCACGTGGGTCACATCGTCGTCCTCGAAGGCACCTAATAAAGCACAAGTAAACAGATCTCTCGCGCCAAGTCAGGAAACGTAATCTCGAAACTGGGGTTGCACGATGCTCGTACTTAAGTAACACCTCAATGCAAGGCTCGCATGTCGACTGTTTAAACGAGCCACCGCCACCGCCACTGCCACACGAAGATTGCCAGGTTGGTTTAATTGAAAAAATTACCACCTGTCAGCGACCTGGCAAGGCGTATTAACCGGTAGAACTACTTCGAAATGTTATTTTCATTATGAATATAATATATACCTAACGATCATTCTCTCAAAGGAATCAGCAGTCGTTTAATTATTACGTGTTCATTATCGCAAAAAGTACATAGATACTTGTGGCTTTCGTAGATATGAGAAATACCAAGT